GTTAGTCTCATTTGGTTTTACAGGGCTGTCCACTCCCAGGTTGAACAGTGAACCTCGGAGATAACTTCACCACTGAGCTAAAAGGGTGTCTGGGGGCCGTACTCTCGGGGTTTCTCCAGTCTCCTTTAGGCCAGTAAATCTGGTCTTTTTTTTTGTCAATTAGAATTATGCTCTGTATCCTTCTCCAGCTCTGTCCAGAACCCTCTGTTGTGATCCTGGTCAGAGCAGTCAGTGGTGGTGAAGCTCTGGATTTTTAAGTGAAATTTTACAACTGAAAACACTGTGTGGCCAACTTATTATTCTGAAAGCTGATAAAGGGAACAACTCAAACATTTATCCTGCCTTTCCTATACACAATACACCACTGGGTAACCAAATAGTAGATATGGGGAAGTTTCTCTTTATAGAAGTATTTCAGCTAATAAATGGAAAAAAAAAAAAAAAGATATAACATCACCATTCTGCCAGCCCTAATGAACTAATGGATCTAGGCATGAACAGCAACAGCTATAAACACGAGAGAGAAAAGTGCTGACCCTAGTGCTTATCCTAACTGAGAGCACAGTACTTCCCTGTGAGCTAGTGTGGCCAAAAAAACTGAACCCGAACCTCATTAAGCATGTGGACCAAATGACCAATTTAAAGGAAACAGAGAGGGCAGAGGAAGGTGTTAAATACAGCAAGATGTCAATCAGAAATTCCCAGAATGAGGGATCTTTTCAGGACAAACAACCCAGTTTCTTTAAATAGTCTTTAAAGACACGAGGGGGAAAAAAAGAGGGGTGGGGGGAAGAGGGAGATCTATAACTTAAACGAGGCTTAAAAAAAAGAAGTTCACATTTGTGAAACACTCAGAAATTTGAACATGACTGCTACTGTTGCTGCTAGGTGCTGTTCAGTTAGCCCGACTCATGGTGACCCCATGCACAACAGACAGAAATGCTGTTCAGTCCCACACCATCCCCATGATCGGTTGTAGAATGGACTGCCATGATCCATAGGGTTTTCACAGGCTTATTTTCAGAAGGAGATTGCTAGGCCTTTCTTCCTAGTCCATCTTAGCATGGAAACTGTTGAAATCTGCTCAGCATCACAGCAACATGAAAACTTCCACTAATGGATGAGTGGTAGCCACAACTGAGGTGCTTTGGGCAGGAATCAAACCCAGGTCCCTTGCATGGAAGGTAAGAATTCTACCACTGAACCATCATTGCCCCACACAACTACCATTTAAAACTATTAAAAATGTTTTAGGAGATACTGTGCTTATGTTAAAAAAAAAAAAAAAATTCTTTTAGAAATACATACTAAAATATTTACAAATGAAATATTTATACCTGGGATCTGCTTCAAAATTGTGACTGGAGAGTGGAGGGGAAAGAAATGACTGACTACCAGTTGATGGTTGTTGGGACTGGATAATGGGTACATGGGGGCTCATTACAAGGGGGAGTGTGTCTAAAGGTTAAATGCTGCTGTATGCTGCCACTTTGCAACCTCTGACTTATGAACATTTTTTTTCTTTTTAATCCCATAAAACCACAGCTACCATTATTCCTATTGTTCCAACAGTGGTAAGGAAAGGTTACAGAGGTTAAGTGGGTTGCATAAATCTTACTCTTTCCTCAAGTCCCAGCTCTAATCACATTTCTCCTACTTTTACAATGCCCTTATAAACCAGTTTATAATTTTCTTCAAACTTCCTGAGTGTGTCACTCTTTGCAAAGAAATACATGGGGGGATGGGTGCTTTAAATCTGTATATAACATAATCTTCCAATATCCCGTGAACTTCTAGTCTATGTAGGCAAGGACTTTATCAGTCTTGTTCACTTCTCTGTCTTCAGTGTAGGTGTTCATGGAATGCTGAGTAAGGTAGGTATTATCCCATTTTTTAGGTGAGAACACTGAGGTTCAGAAGTCATATAACCTGCTAGACTATAAAGCCCTTGTATGCCCTTGTCTCAGCACTCAGATGGGTTGTCATCCATTTCACAATTACTGAAATTATTAACTTTAAAATGAGCTAAGGGAAAAAAAAATCAATGCATTTGAGCTACCCTATTAATACTCGGTCACTTAAAGCAAAAGTCTGGCAGTCTGGGATTAAAATCTCTACGCTGCAAGTTACCTAATAACTGAGAGTGGCAGCAACAAGAGAGAGGAGAGATGTCAATATCACAGAGGACAAGGGTTAGGTCACAGGTGAGCACCAAGGAAAAGTCAGCCTTGGGTATGGAAAAAGAGGGAAAGTGGTCCTTCCTGACCTAGTGCCCAGAGGCAAAAAGCAAAGTCACAACGTCTCCTAGACCTCTCTTCTCATCACCCACATTAATCTGTGTTATTTATCTATTTACAACACCCCATCAAGTGCCAAGTAATGGGCCAGGTGCCATGGGGGGTGGGAAGGACAAGAAGGAGTAAAAAGTCTGTTTGCCAAGACTTTGCAGTCTTGTCAAGTGCTAGGAAGAGTGGGTGCAGAGAGGTCCCCAGGTCCCCATTCACTTGGGGGCTCAGAGCTTTCAGAAATTCCCTCTTAAGACTCTAATAACGAGCCTGAGGCCAAGGGGGCAATGCCAAATCCCAGGTAAGAAGAGGATATCCATAATCCAACCTTTGGGCTTCCAAATCCCAAATGAGATAATAAATTCCAACCTTGATCTATGGCCACATTATGTCCAGATCTGGAGGGGGGCCAGATACCAAGTGAGGCCCCCACAGCCTGCTAGGGCAGAAGGGATCTCAGACCTCATGGCTCCCAAGGTCCCAAACTCCATAAACCAATTCTGGGAAATTGGGCAAGCCACCTGACTTCTCTGGGCCTGTTTTCTTAGCTGTATATTCAAAAAAATTAACTTTTTGAGTTCTCTCCTGTCTAAAATTATTTGAGTCATCCTGAGGTGCTTAGCTCCTCAAGCTACCGGCAGTGATCTCAGATCTCTAACTCGAACCAGAGGTCTCAAAAGTATCTCCAATCCTTAATTTGACACTACCCAAAGGTTCAGACTCAGGGCCTAACTAGAACTCCCATAAATCCCCCGGCTATTATCCTGTTCTTCACACCACCCCCAGCTTTCGGACAAGCAGAGGCTTTCTCTCCCAATCCCTAACTTAACCGCCTCACTTTTCTCAGCGTTACTCCTAATCAGCAAGCACGTGCCAGCTCCCAATCTGCCCTCCGTGCTGGAGATGCCTCCCACTGCCAGTCATTAATCATTATCCAAATCGTCCCCCTACTCCTAGTGCCTGGACCGTAACCCTGATTCTGGACAATTCACCCCAACCTGCGGGGAATCTGGGCCATAAAGTTCCCTACCTCCACTCGGCCTGTAATCCAGATGACCAGGACTCACTCACCCTACCCGCCAAATCGCTCAGCCTCTAACCCCTAAATCGGCCCTCAGATCCCCTGACACACCTCAACCTTGGATCCCTCAACAACTCCAATCCAGACTCCCCCAACTTACAGTCTGGACCCTCACCCAAACTCCTCACCAGAACTCAAGCCCTCAGCTACCTTCTCCCACAGCTTCAGCCTGCGGCCCCGCTCCCGGGCGAGAAGGCTGCCGAACCTCAGGCCACCTTGACCTTGTTCCGCGGGTTCCGCCACTAGGCCCAGCCCTGCCGCTCACCTGGGTACCCTTGCCAGCCCCGGGCGGCCCCAGCAGCACGGCCCGGATGCCTTTACGATACTCCTGGGACAGTTCGTCCGCTGGAACGCTGGGAGCCATGCCTACCAAGACCTGGCGCTACCGCCTGTCTGCACACCTCGCAGGTTCAGCGCTTCCAGGCCAGCGCGCCACGCACGCCACGCACGCCCCGCTCGCCACTCACACTGGCCGGTCTCCACGTCCGTCAGCCCTCTCTGCCCGCCCCTGAGAGTGACGAACACTTCAACTTACCAATCACACGACGATATTCGAGAAAACTTTTTTGACTGGACAGAATTCGTAAAGCAGTAAGGAAGAGGCTGTCTACCATGGACTGAGGCGGGTGGAGTGCTCGCGGCCTTCGCGGAGGGTGTGTAGAGTAGGCGGGAAGTTGTGAGGAAAGCCTAGGGGCTGGACTGGGAGTTCTCGTTAGGCTTTTGACAGTTTCTGAGGCCGGCAACTTCCGAGTCCTGTGAAATTTCCCTTGGGAGTGTAAATGGGTAGTAATCACTTTTAGAAGACAAATTGACAATATGCATCCTACGCCCTTGGCCAGCCATTCAAAGGACATAATCAAGGGTACATGTAAAGATTTATGTAATGAAGATGTTAATTGTAGTACTTAAAAGCAATACCCCAGATGTCTAACAATAAGAGTTAAATAAATTGCAACAAATTTGTATACTGGAGTCCCTCTGTTGTGTAAAACTATTTAATCACATGGGAACTTGTTCACCAAGCAGGATACAAAATTGCAGTTAAAGCAAACTCCTAATCTTGTTCCGTAGTTACAAGCGGTGATCTCTGTATAATGTGAATATAGGAGCTTACCCTCTTCTTTGTGCATTTTTATATCTTCAAAAAGTTTTATAATGAATTCTGTAATAAATAGGTATTGTCTTTACAATTAGAAAAGAACAACGATTTGAAGTCAGGAAAAGATAGTTTTTCTTAAAAGAGATGACCCTTTCTTGGAAGGGGAAATGATTTCTACAGGTTTTTGGTGTGTGAAAGTTTCATCCACACCCCCTATGAAGCAACTGGTGAGGCCCTGGCAAGATTAGCCCCAAGCGCCGCTTTAGACCTTTTGTCGAGAGTGTGATTATGAAACAATAACGTGTTCTCCACGGGATCAAATGACTACTCATTCTCTACAGTCTAGTGATGAATTTGCTATCCTTTCAACTGTGGTCTCTTCTACTTTACCACAGAGAATAAGTTAACATTCGTTCCTCATCTCCACACTGGACTTTTACAAGGTGCTTGATTGATCTTGTATCCTCCCAATGACCTTGAAGGAGGCAGGTATTGCTATGCTCATTTTTCAGAAAGGAAACTGAGGCCTAAAGATATGCAGTGACCCAAACCATACAATGACAGAATCACAACTCAGGCTGGGGATGACAGGCTGGTGCCCCAGAGAGCACAGGGCTTGTCGGGAGTAGGCTGGGGAGCAAACACCTAAAGGTGTGGTAGCCAGAGCTTTGAACCAGTTTGCTCCGGTTTGAACTCCTGCTGAGAATCTGCACTTCCGCCCCAGGTATACTGCATCAGAATCTACATTTTAACAAGATCCTCAGGTCATTCTTATGTATAATAAATTTTGAGAACCATTGCTCTGCTAGTGGTTCTCAGAATTGGTCTCTAATCAGCAGCGTCTCCTGGGAACTTATTAGAAATGCAAATTTTCAGGAGAGGTTCCAACAGAACTGGAATGAACTGGTTGGAAGCCCTGCCGGTGGCCTTTATGTGGCTCAAATTAACTTCAATAAGACAAAGTTTTGTTGAGATTTGCTCTGTGCAGGGCACCTGATGAGGGGCACCGGATGAGGTCTATTAGACCTAAAGTTGGGGGCAGCCTTCCCCTTCCACCTCTAATCCCTATGGTGATTCTGACCAGGCATGTTGTTGTTGTTAGGTAGTCAGTTTCTGGCTCATAGCGACCCTATATACAACAGAATGGAACACTGCCTGGTCCTGTGCCATCCTCACCATCATTGCTATGTTTGAGCCCATTGTTACAGCCACTGTGTCAATCCATCCGGTTGAGGACCTTTCTCGTTTTCACTGACCTTCTACTTCACGAAGCATGATGTCCTTCTCTAGAGACTGGTCCCTCCTGATAACATGCCCAAAGTACGTGAGATGAAGTCTCACCATCCTTGCTTCTAAGGAGCATTCAAAGGACCAGGCACGGACCCCTCAAAATGTAAGATTTATTTATTCAATTAAAAAAATTCTTCTAGGCTTTAGGGGTATACTACCCGTTAAACTCATTGCCTTCGAGTCGATTCCAACTCATAGGGAACCTACAGGACAAAGTAAAACTGCCCCATAGGGTTTCCAAGGAGCAGCTGGTGGATTCAAACTGCTGATGTTTTTGTTAGCAGCCGAGCTCTTAACTGCTGTGCCACTAGGGCTCTGGGGGGTATACTAAGGACCATAAAAGAAGTATTGACAGGAAAGGAAGGAGCATCTCATTTATTTATTTAACGAGCAGTATTTATTATTAATAGTAACTGCTGCCATCCACCTATTATTAAGCACTATGTGCCAAGTAGGGAGCCCTGGTGGCAAAGTGGCTAAGTGCTTGACTGCTGACCAAAAGGTCAGCAGTTCAGAACCCACCAACTGCTCCATGGGAGAAGTGGCTGTCTGCTTCCATAAAGGTTTACAGCCTTGGAAACCCTATAGAGCAGTTCTACTCTGTCCTATGGGATCTCTGTGAGTCAGAATCGACTCATAGGTAGAGGATTTGGTTTTGAATTTGCCAATTACCGTGCTAAGCACTTTACATGCATGATCTCTTTTAATTCTCACAACAACTTATGTATGAGGTAACTTCTATTATAGTCTGAGTTCCCTATTGAGGAAACTAAAGCAGAAAGAGGTTTAGTAACTTGCTCAAGGTCAAATGACTAGCCTGAGCCTGCACTGAGATTTGAGCTTAGGTCTGACTGACTGGTGTCTGGCACCTGGCAGTAAATAAAACAGGCTGATAAGGAGCTCACAGTCTGGCTGGATTCCAGCAAGAGGGATCACAGAGGTCTTTGTAAAAGAGAAGGACCTTCAAGGATGGTGTGCATTTGGCATTGGGGAAGTGGGTGTTTTAGACTTGAGAGAACATTCAGAGCAAACCCTCAGATGCTGGAGTGAACAGGGTGGGCTGTGGTTTTATTCAGTGGGTTTTGGAGAATCAGAAAGTTTCTTAGGTAGGGGCGTGTTATGGATTGAATTATGTCCTCTAAAAAGATATGTTGAAGTTCTAACCCCTGGTACCTTTGAATGTGACCTTGTTTGGAAATAGGGTCTTTGAAAATGTTATAAGTTGAGTTAACATGAAATCATACTGCAGTAGGGTGAGTCCTAATCCAATGTGAGTGGTGTCCTTACAAATGAGAAGAGACACAGAGAGATACACAGATATGACTGTGTGATGACAAAAGCACAGAATGTAGCTACAAGCCAAGGAATGTCTGGAGCTACCAGAATGAAGACAAGAAAGAAATTTCCCTAGAATCTTCAGAGAGAGTTTGGCTCTGCTGACACCCTGAATTCAGACTTTCAGCCTCCAGAACTGTGGGACAATAAATTTCTGTTCTTACAAGTCACCTAGTTTGTGGTACTTTGTTATGGCAGCCCTAGGAAACTCATACTGGCCGTTATGACCAGATTCATATTGTATAAAGAACACTTGCAGGACAGACTGGAGAGAAGAGAAACAGGTGACTGCAAGACAAGTTAAGAAGTATTTCTGTTAGTGTTTTGTGGTAGGCAGAATAATGGCCTCTCAAAAATGTCCATATCCTAATCTCTGGAACCTGTGAATATATAACCTTGTGTGACAAAAGGGACTTTGCACAGATGATTGAATTAAGGATCTTGATGTGGGGAGATTATCCTGGATTCTCTGGGTGGGCCCAGTATAATCACAAGGGTCCTCATAAGGGAAAGAGGGAGGCAGGAAAATCAGAGAAGGAGATATGACAATGGAAGCAGAGATCTGAGTGATATGCTTACTGGCTGAGAGCCCTGAGCCAAGAAATGCAGGAAACCTCTAGAAGCTGGAAAAGACAGTGTAAAATGGTAGTAGTAGCATCAGAACCTGTCTAAATTCATGAGAAGGACAGAGAATCACCATCAGCCCAAAGCTGAGTCCCATGAGGTAGAGGTCAGATATACCTCCACCCTCCAAGCTTTTTAATAATCCTGACACCAGCTATTCCTCCCACAGCACTCTCTACTTCACTACTGGGTTCAATAACTTGTTGCCATGGCCACACACAACTCACAGATCATACTCATGATTATAGGATTTATTAGGGAAGTAACAAGTTACAATTCAGGATCAGGATCAAGTTTAGCATGATGGCAAAACTGACCAATCCCTTTGGTAGGCCACAGGCATCTTATTTGCATAGTCCCTGTCCAACCCTGGCAGGAGTTTTACATACCTTATTTGCATAGGCCCACCCAATCATTTTATGGGAGTTACAAGAGCATGGCCAGAAAGACCATATAAAAGGGGAAAACCAATGCCCTGCAGCAAGGAAACAGATTCTCCCCTAGAGCCTCCAGAAGGAATGCAACCCTGCAGACAACTTGATTTTCACCTCATAAGACCCATGTTGGACTTCAGACCTCCAGAATTGTAAGATAATAATTTGATATGTGTTTTTTTTAATTGTGCTTTAGATGAAGGTTTACAGAGCAAATTAGTTTCTCATTGAACAATCCACATATTGTTTTGTGATATTGTTGCCAACCCCACAACATGTCAACACTCCTCTTCTCGACCTTGGGTTCCCCATTACCAGCTTTCCTGTCCTCTCCTGCCTTCTCCTCCTTGCCCCTGGGCTGGTGTGCCCATTTAGTCTTGTTTTGTTTTATAAGCCTGTCTAATCTTTGGCTGAAGGGTTAACCTCAGGAATGACTTCAGTACTGAGTTAAAAGGGTGAGATTTTGGTGTTGTTTTAAACCAATAAATTTGTTGTAATTTGTTACAGCAGCAATAGGAAACTAAATACATAAATAAAAAATAAATACATGTTCTTTGACTGTAAGCAACAGATACAGATTCTGACCACATTAAGGAAAAAAAGAAATTCACTGCGAGTTCAACA